TGGGCTCGAACCCCGGACCATGTGCATGGTCGGCGAGAGTCCTAAACACTGCGCCACCGACGCACCATATGTCCATATGAAACACTGTTTCCGAGATTTGACAGAATCTCTTCTGTGCAACTGAAAAAACTTAGAAGACAAAAAGAGAAGTTGTATAAGAATGGTGATAATACTGGTGTCCGTAAAATGAACACCCTTATAAAAATTGAATTAGAAAGGTTGAACAGACTATATAATGAAAAATTTTTATCATGTAAAAATCCTTCAAACATTTGGAAACTTTTCAATAAACTTACAAGTAAAAAACAAATGTCCGTTGATGCTTATTCTGATGTTAATGCTTTAAACAAATCATTTATCAAGTAACAAGTTAATATGGTTGTACCTGATGTACCTAGTCAAGAAAATGGTCATTTTCCGGGCTTTAAAGAAAAGGATGTACTATTATGTTTGAAATCACTAAATCCAACACATAGCCTTGGCCCAGATGGTGTACCAAGCATTCTTCTTCAAAAGTGTGCAGACATCTTGTGTCATCCTCTTACTCAAATGTTTAACGCATCATTTAACAGGGAAACGGTACCTGCTGACTGGAAAGAAATCAAGGTTTTACCTGTACAGAAATCATCTTCTGGAGCAGGTATAAAGTTTAGACCGGTCGCTATAACATCTCCTTTTTTGAAAACTATGGAGAAACTTCTTTTGAATATTCTTAAACCTTCTTTAAAAGCTTTTAGTGACCCTAAGCAGTTCGCTTATAAGTGTGGAAGAAGTACATTAGATGCAGCCATTGTACTACACCACAATATTGTTTCCTGCCTTGATAAGGGTGCTAAGTTCGTTCGAACAGCTTTTTTAGACTATACTGCAGCTTTCGACTCTGTTCCTAGGACACTTTTATTAGGAAAGATGATTTCAGCTCAAACAGAGTCCTGGGCAACTAGATGGCTGTCTTCTTATTTTAAGGATAGGAAACAGCATACTGTTTTGGCTGGAAAGCGCTCCACTTCCCAGCTAACTGAAAGTGGTGTACCTCAAGGTGCAGTACTTTCTCCATTTCTTTTCTCTTTCTTTTTGCATGACCTTCCGAACTCACCCAAAGTTAACTTCATTAAGTATGCTGATGATATGACCGTTTCTGTCCCTATAGTTTCCACATCGGATTGTTCCCATATGAATGGCTTCTTAGCTGAAGTTAAGGATTGGTCTGGCTCAAATGGTCTTAAACTAAATCCAACTAAATGTAACACTGTAGATTTCAGCTTGAGAAGTGAAAAAGAAATGCATGGATTGATTCAATCTCATGATTGTTGTAATATTGATGGTACCATGATAGGGAGTAAGTCAAGTGTTTCTTATCTTGGCATTAGTTTCTCTTCAAACCTTTGCTGGTCGTCTCATATTCTTATAGTTTCTAAGAAAGTTTTCCGTCTGACTTATTACATAAAGAAGTTGAGACACTCAGGTATAACCCAATCTCTTATCATACAATTTATTAATTCATGTGTATCGCCCATCATTCCTTATTGTTCTCCATTATTCTTCCCTGGGCTACTCAAAAAAGACCATATAATACTACGAAGAACATTGAGAGCTGTAAGTAGGGTCAGTGCTATCCCTTTAACTCAACTAAATGACACTGTTGTCAATAGGCATATGAATTCTTGTAAACACTTAGCTAAAGTTATCTTATCCGATAGTGAACATCCTCTTTATTCACAATTGTCTCCTTGCATCTCTTCGGGTAAGACAAGAAGAAATTTTATAAACATTTATGCTCGCACTACAAAATATAAAAATTCGACCGTTCCATATTTGTCACGAGTATTGTGTGAAGAGACAAATATCAGAAAAGAACTTTTACAACTTTTGAATCAATAACTAAGCTATAAAATGTAATGATGCATATTAATGCATGTGTCATTTGTTATATTATTTATTTATTATTCACTAAGACCCAGAAATGGTGCGATTTTGTTGGTTTTTTTTATTTTTTATTTTTTTGTTTTTTCCTATTAAATATAAATATTTTAACATTATATACATTCATATAATTATAAACAGAGCTAAACCATTGCAATATGTAAAAGAAACGCTGAAACTTCCATGCTGTAAATTGTTATTGTTGTGGAATAAAGTGATTATTATTATTATAATTGTCTCTCTCTATCTCTCTCTTTCTCCCTCTCTCCATAAACAGAAACACAACCGGTCACAGATGAGTCAGAAAGCACTCAATCACATCGAACTGATGAACAGCTGACTACCACGCGTCAATTCGAACCAACAACACCAGGTGAGTCAACTCATTTTCCCATCAACAAATGAAAAGCTTCAAATATATATCGTCGAGTTTGTAGACGATGGAATTATTTTAAGCCACACTGTGGAATATTTTCCACATGACACCTGACTCAGTGCAGTTTATATTATTTTCTATTTGAAATCACTGCGAAAATTTATTATCAATTGGTATCATTTGTTCAATATGATGCGGAATTTTCCGCTTTGTTTTCGAAAAAATCCGCTTTTTTCAACTGGTTGTTATATCTAATTTTCGTATATGTTGGAATATGTCCATCGACTGATTTTATATATCTCTTTTTTGATTGCAGCTTGATTCCATGCTGTAATTTTTGGTACAAGTATGGAATTTTCATCATGGATATCGGTATCCCAAATTTCGCAGGCCGACCATAGATATCAGGTGTGTGTCGGCAGGGGATCGAACCTCGGACCATGTGCATGGTCGGCGAGAGTGTACACCACTGTGTCACCAGCGCACAAATTCAACCTTTATTCAGATCTAGATTCGGCGAATATCTATACTAGTCAGTAGGGAATATACACATTCACAACAAGGGAACCATGTGTCTTCTAGGATATGAACCACCTCTAAAACGAGGAAATTATCTCATCTGACACAAAACAGTGAAATGAGATGATTTTCAATCCAGCCAACTTTACACTCACGTGTTATGTATGAGACATTCGATGTTCAACTCTTCTAGAGAATTAGATGTCCGTTCACAGATATGTGGTTTCCTCATTGGGAAGCAGCAACCACCACCTGTGATTGAGTAGTAGATTGGTGACTAGCCACTCTGGAGAGTCAGTCTCGATTTCCAACTGACTTGCTTGTAGACCTCGTCTACTTTAGTAACAGGTTGGACATGAATACAGCAACCACACCGATGCTGAGAATTACGAGGGCATGACCCCTTGTGTTCTGCCCAACACGCGACGACTGAAAGAAAAGTAGGTGGTTGAAAATTTATTCCAAAGGTTTGCAGTCTTCTTAGTGAAAGATTTTGTTCATAATTCAACATCAATGCCTTTTCTGGCTGTGTAATACCGTGAGAGATTATCAAATAGATTTTCCGTTCTATGGAACCAAATTTAAAATCACTCGTAGGTTATTATTCATACAAATTTAGTCTCCAGACTGTGAGTGGCAATACTCACTCACTAATGGAGAAAATGTAACTAGAATTCATGCATAACTCCAAATTTGTTGATATATCTCCACCCGTTCATGATGGTATTCACTGATGACAAGTATATTCCTGATTTATTTCAGATGTATTTCTGGCTGAATTGGATCTAATCGTCAGAGACTGGAACGAAACAATCACCAAGAGTGGTGACGCTGCATCATTACAGATTTTGGATGAATATTGTCGAGATGTAAGTGATTACAAAGCTTGATGAATTGAGCGATTAGTCGAATTTTGATAAGACCGTTTGGAAGGAGTCATCACCGTGTGAGTTATCATGTTCGGTAGTGTAGCCGTGTTGTCAGCTGATCGGCGAGAAGAGGACTGTGATGCAGGTGCATGAATACTCCTGTCGACTGAATGTTGATTCACCCTGATAATTTATACTTTGTTTCACTCTTGTTGACCGATCACACATAACCCACATCTACTCGTTACTCATATCTGATTTGTTCTGCCTTGCACTGAATCAATCAATCAATCAGGTGAAGGCGTTTTTGAGGCAAGTCGAGCCGAGATTGCAGTCAGTTCAATTGTCGTGTGATATTCCATCACCAAGAAGTCAGAATTTCCACGAAGTTAATCAGATCACAGTAGTGATTGCGATGTCAACTCGTCAGATGAAGCAGAAATTCACCACGACAGATTGGTTCGGCGAGCTCAAGGAATCACTGGAATATAGGATCAACAACGAGAAGGACCAATGGACAAGTGGTGAGTGAATTGTTACCCTATTCTTCACTGGAATATAATCAGCGATTAGGAATGAGGAGAGACTTGTGACAGGTGTGTGTTTGCAATATTTTGTTTTATTCAGAGATAACCGAAGAGACGGATTGATGTCGCGCTCATGATGGTTGTTCAGCTTCATACTGACGGATGGAATCCTCATGGAGCAATGAGAAACAATTTGTTGCCTCCAAAATGATACTCACTAATGCATTTATCTTCCACGAATGTTGATGGAGGGAAGTGTGTGTTTTGTCTCATTATAGGTATTCTCTCAGTTCGGGGTAAGTCTGTGATTTGTGTAACATTTCCATGTCCCCGTCACATGCAATATGTCATTGAGAACAAACCACATTGGAGGGAATGTGATATGTTTTGACAGTCACTCATACTCATCCAGACTGAATTCAATGTGAGTGCTGTGATGAAGACGGGCAACTCACATCCTCCTGGTTGATCGTGATGTGTAGTCGAATGTCCGATGCTTCCTGAGGGGAACACGTGAAAAGTAGTATGAGGCTGTTGGTGACTTGTTGAATGGTTCCCTCTCATTGTTGGATGAAATCATTGTATGTTGGAACGGAAGAGGATGTGATAGTGTGTATGAGGATTGTGGTCAGTTATGTATGATCAATTTTCATTGGCCTGATTTCGAAGTGAGTGGGAGAAGCCGACAGCGTTGCGTTGTGGCTTTCGAGTGTTTCTGCTGTTCCCGCCTAATCGATGAATGTTTCATTCTCAGTTCCTAAATCGCTTGTTCAATTTTCTTTACAGAGGGGGAATGGCGTCATGGAGCAGGTGAGCAGTGGATTGAGTTATGATGTGTATTATCATGTTTGCTAGCTAATTTTGATGTGGTCGAGTTGACGGCGAATGTTTGTTGTTTGACGACTGGATGTTTCTCATTCCGATAAGTGTTTCGCGAAGTAACAATAATAATAATAATAATGATAATAATAATTGTAACACTACAAAATCGATACAAGTTTCTTCTTCGTTATGTCTGACTTGAATGAATCATCGTGAAACCTGAGAATACTTCAGAGTGTATGGATAGCGGAGAGTGTAACTGACTCGAATGCATATGAGAGTGATGGATTCCTGCACCAACATTTCCACTGGAAATGGGTATTTGTCGTTGTGTAGATTTTGTTTATCAGTTTACTTTGAGAGAACATTTCGCTCAGGTGTGATGTGATCAGTGAATGATGAATTTTTCAATTTCAGAACACAAATTTGTGTACATCGACGATGTTGGATTCGGTCGAGGTCGGTGTGAACAGGTCAGTTTTCGTATGATTGATAATTTTAACTAGGTATGAGTATGTGTGGGAGTGATTGTTGAAGACATTCACTCCGTGGTGTATGTTTCACAGTGGATATTCCAGTTTTGACGCTGAGGATTCTGGTATTGTGTGATTCATCAACATCCGCGTGTTTGTGTGTGAGTGTGTCTCTGTGTTTTGATATGAAGTGTACAATGTAGATAAATGGACGGACTCAGTGGAGCTCTGTCATATTATCTCCTTCACTGTGATTTCGTCTGATAGTCAACTGAGGGCTCAGGAAGCGTTATTTTCCAAGGGATGCACTCCAACGGAGTTTGTCTACCTGTTGAAACTGTTATCTCGTGTAAAATTGCCACCCCTAACATTTTGAAAATCAAAACAAGTGATTCAGCTGAAAGACTCTTTTCAACGGATTTATCATCGAGGTCTACAATCGTATACTCATGGATTTTGTGACGTTACATCCAGTGTGGTAATTCAATCTTAGGTGTGAATGCATGTAATAATATTAGTAATAATACTATGAAATGTGATTATAAACTAAAATGTTTGTGATTATAATCATAGGGAAATATCAGGTGGCAAAGCAAATTATTGTCATATATGGAATAATCCACGGGATGTATAGAACTTGAAAAAGGGTGTGCAATTTCGGGATTAGTAGACAAATCGAATGAAATTAAACCATTACACAATATTGTGTGAAATTTGATAGCATAGAGTTTCACGTTATAAAAAAGAATTGATATAGAATGACAAGTGGAACAAGTGAAATAATACTGGGGACAGTTCAATTTGACAGTAGTAATAGTAACAATTGACATTGTAATAAGGAAGAGACTACAAACTGAATGGACAAAATGCAAAAATGAAAGATTGGTAGAGCTAAAATATGATTAGGGATTACCATATTTTATCATAGAGTGAATAAGGCCATGAAAGCTGGAGGTGTTGAACGAACGTTTTCTGTACACAGAGATCTGGCTTTTCTGTTTCGATAGCCAAAGATGGCTTCAGAAATACAGATGAGTCGGGTGCGTGGGGATTTGGGTAAATCACTGTTTGCCTTGTAGATGACTTTGAAGGCGGAGGCTGTACAGTGTGACTATGACCGGATGTTCAGTGATCGCGCTTCTTATTGCTCCACTTCCACCTCTTCGTAACCATGCAGGATAGTGTTCTTGCACCCTCTTGGACAAAACTCGAGTCAAACGAACGATATACCTAGCTCCACACGAGCAGATGAATTCATAAACGCACATAGAGTTGGTCAACAGTGGGATCTTGTCCTGCAGGTTATTGAACAGTAAACGTCGACTAGTAAAGGCTATTCTCAGAGATGCAGCAGGGAATGTTATTTTCAGGGACTGTGATATCCTTCGTTTCATGATATCGGAAGCTAAGTCTTCTTTGAATTACAAGCACATGTAAAGTATTTTCTTGGGTACGGATGATAAGTCACGTTTTATAGGATTTGAATGCATATTCTCATCTATAAAACGTGGTGGAAATCCATTTTCTATTAGGATTCTCCTCAGAAGGTATGACTCATCTCCCACAGTATCAGGGCTACATATGTGCCAAATGGGAGTGGCAAGTGACCGGACCAAGTTTCATTTTCGACCAATGGGTACCCAGCTGTAGAAATTTGTCACCTGACCATTCCATGACAGCTTTCGATAAATCGATCTCTACACAGTTTCATCCGTCCTCCTTGATAAGTTCACATTGAGGAAATGAATGCTAGACTCATTCTCCTTTTCGAATGTGTGAATTTTATCGCAGGATGGCAACCATTGAATGCATTTATAATAATATTCAAATGACAATCACTATTACAAATAATATAGGTGTCATCTACATACCCTTTATACATTTGAAAGCTTTGGATTGTTGACTTCAACTGACCATTTTCTAGACTGTCCATAAAACAGTCTGAGAGGAGACGACCCAAAGGAGGACCCATTGCAATACCATCCTTCTGTCTGTAGATTGTTTTATTGAAAGTAAGCTGTACATTCACTGCACATCTCAGAAGTAGTTCTTCAGATCTGTAGTGAGTATCCCTATATTCAAATTGTTGTCTTCAATATATCTGCATATAAATCATATGGCTACTGTCAGTGGAACGTTCGAGAATTTACTGCTGTCTGAAAGTAGATGTGACATTTTATCAATGCAACATTTACGAACCACTTTGAACTGTCCCCGGTATTATTTCACTTGTTCTACTTGTCATTCTAAATCGATTCTGTTTTCCAACGTTAAATTCTATGCCATCGAATTTCACAGAATACTACGTAACGTATTAATTTTATCCGATTTGCCTACTAATCCTATAATTTCCCACCCTTCCAAGTACTATACACCATATGGACTATTCTATGCATGACATTAATTGATTCACCACTTGACATTTAACTATGATTATAATCACAAACATTTTAGTTTTTAATTGCATTTCATACTACTATTATTATTATTATTCTATGCATTCACACCTATGATTGAATTCCCTCACCGGATGTAAATTCACAAAAACCATGAATATACGATTGTACAGCTCGATGATAAACAATAATTTAGTTATTTCAATATATAAATATATATATATTCAGGTCGCATCCAAAAGTCTTCACTTTGTGATATTCCATTAGTCTGATCTATCCAGTTCTGATTAGCAACACTTAAAGAGAACTCTCATGCAATAATACCATAAAGAGTGAGACGACTGACTGCTGTGTGGGCATACCTAAAGGTGTGTTCGTATATGTGAATAATTGATGAACAGAAATTTAACAAATGCAATGATCAACATAAAAGACAACTGAAAATTCAAACGTCTGGCTCGAAACCGTGTGCGAACTAAATGGATGACTAAGGCGTAATATGTATTCAGTGAGTTGGTAGTGATTAGTGACACTGGTCAATGAGTCCAAACGAGACCAGTTGATATCAGAGTGGATAGTAACCGGTTGTATTCCCTTATCATTTGAATACCGTCTGGACAGATAAATAAATCGGTCGAACTCACACAAGCGTGATTTGTGAGTGGCCGGTTTTTGTTACAATCAGCTTCAGTATTTCAATTGATTAGCATGTCGTAAATCGTGTGTAATTTTTATGATTCTGTATATTTCAGTTGAAGAAAGTGGTGAGGGAGCTGTATCCAGGTTTGGAAGAAGCGGTGACTAATTGTTCACTGGACAGCGTAATGAAGCAAATCACCTTGGAAGTATCGTACGAGCGTCTTATAGAGAAAGAGTACTATAGTTTCCATGATGTTCTCTCCAGACGGTTCAAGCTGGCTGTTTTGGATATGGTTGAGCGTATGAGAAGCGAAGGTATGTTTGGACATTGTGGAGTTGGCTTTTAAAATTGCATCTGTTCGTAGGAAATGTTTACTGTGCTTATGATAATTGACAGTGTGTGAGTAATGCCGTTTTCCGATAGTCATTCTGGGACGTAGGTGAGAAGAGAGACTTCTCATCGATCTGAACACCTGACTATATTGGTGAAAAATTGGTTGAATAATTAGTTAATCAGTAAATTCACTTCACTTATTTGTCTTCATTATTATTATTATTATTGTTTTCAGTATGCAGTTTCCGATTTCCTGGTAGGAGATGGGACCTCAGTGATACATCTGACCGGGACTCGGTTTATGTCACACACCACTCACAGCTCACCTCAAATCTCATCCAACGACCTGATTTCCTGTTCACTTGATCTTCTCCATGTCGCCATCGGATTCGCATCCGGTAACTACCCATTCCGATTCGACCGACTGTCTGTCACGATTAATTTCAATCAGATCTCAACCACATTCCACATACTTGTCGGCTGTTGACTCGTTTTCTGGTACACCTGACTATTTCTCATCCTTTCTGAAGTAGCCATCTCACGTGTTGAGTGAATTCAGCTGTTGTTGGTGAATGGTTACAGCCTGGTGGAGATAATTTCAGGGATGTGTCAAGTCTGTGAAGTATAGAGCAGCACTCGCTGACTGCCTTACTGAATGGCTGACTGACTAACTGACTGACGCACCTAATACTCTCATCGGATGTTGTTTCATGAGCTGATCTATGTCAATCTACATGTTGAGTTCAGAGTAATAAACGCCAGTCCCTCTTCTTCTCGATTTCTGGGTGGCATTGAAATCCTGATTCCTGCCAACTGACCTGCAAGTCTTCCTGTCCATATGAGTGATAGAGGCGAATTTCTTCATTGATCAACTAGTGATAGTGACTGTTTCTGTTGTTGATTGTTGTTGCTGTTTATCGGTCGTCTTCATCATCGCTGTTTGGCGTGCGATTTCAAACATCATTTGTGTTCGAGAGACAGGAAAATTTGATTTTGCCTACACGAAGTCGAGATCTTCAGGATTCCAGCCTTTTATCGACTCAACTCACGACTCCATGTTCTAACGGATGACGCACGCCACTACAATTTTGAGTATCATCAGTGATGGCGGGCACGTTTGTCACTCACACCTCGAAAGCTTCCATGAGATATGTGACATGTGACTCCACCATACAGGTATCGAGTGAGGTCAGTGAAGTTTGTGGCATTCTGTAGTGTAGTGTAGTGTAGTGTAATGTAGTGTAGAAACAGTCTCCCAATCAATTCCCATTCGACTCTGTGAAGTGTCTGTTGAAAGTCAATAACAGTACACTAACAACTATAACAGAATAATGTTTGATGAGTTTATTATTCTGAGCATAAGGAATGCGGTCCGGTAAATGTTGCTTCTGTTGTCAGCGTTACACACTTATTCATTGCAATACAGGCTTGTTGAGAATGTCGGAATCACAAGCTGTGCAGTGTCCTTCGCGCTTATACTGCGATGTCACTGCGTCATCCGACAGTATCTAGGTAACGCAGATGGTGTTTATGATGATGATGATGATGATCCTATGGTTTCAGTCTTGTTTTCGACCGGCTGTCACTTGATTAGTTCTATGCATACATGATTGTAGAAGTTGACGGAACTACCTTGGTCATACGTTTCGCAGAATTGTGGGTAGCCAGCTGTCAAAGATGTCATGTGAATACAGGATATTTTATGAAGACTGAATTGAAACAGTTCTCTGGTGCTTGTCAGTATTCACGAAATGTGGATATATGTTCTCTTGTGGATGGGAACCTTGTAGAGACAAGTGACATTTCGAATACATGCGACTGTTGGATGTCATTGCTACATATTGCATACAATACAATCTTCAGAAGATGGGTAGTACAAGAAGAGAAGACACGGCGACTGTGATGGTCGAGTATAATTCCGCCGTAGAATAATCTTCCTTGGTGGAAGTAAACAGTGACATGAGATTTCCAGCACAGTTAATAGCTCAGTGTGATGCATCAGGTTGAATATGAAGCAGAAGGTCATCGAAGAAAACATAAAGAAATGGTCGCCCCATGTCGTGAATTGGCAGAAGTTAGAATTAATGGGCCTGTGGATCGGGTCCCAGTGGCTCAATGATGCACGAACTCGCCTTGATTCGAACTCGTATGGTGATCTCGTACTGATGAGGCGGTGAAACAAGAAATAAACAGCTGTCCAGTAGTCAGAGGTTTCCCAGTTGTTCTCTAACTGATGAACCTCATGATTAAATCCTCCATAAACTCCAGAAATGACAATAACGGAATACAAAATCCTAATAGTGAAGAACATGTATTACGAGAGGAAGACGAAATAAGATATAAGGATTAACTGAACAAAAGTGCCCATTAAAATTTTCAAAAGAATGGATACTGAACAAAAAGTACTCTTTTCGATAAATTCATCATCAGGCTCTACATTTATACATTTATTATAGTGAATGAATGAGTTAGCGTTATAAACGACATTAATGTTTGACTAACATCAACTCAATAATATTGATAAATTACACCTGTATCGCATCAACATAGAATAAGCTGAATGTGAGAAACATTAAGAAAGATAAAGTACAAATTCATGGGTTACTCAGTAAGGGAGAGGAATATGATATTCGGTAAAATTATTCAGAAATTTGTAAAAAGATGAGGAGTTATAATTCACGAAAGCCCGCAGCGCGAGAAACAAACGCTGTGGAAATCAAAGAAAGAAAAGTAAAACCTGCTGAATAAGAAGAACATAAGGAAAAAGGCCGATAAACGTGAATGTTGATAGGAATTCAAAAATAATAAAAACAGAAGAGCAACACACAGGAACCATGACACAACACAGCACGTCACGCTAACTCACATATCCATACGCAAGTAAAGAAGAGATAACTCAACAATTCAAATTTACTGGAAACCACCAGTTATCAACAATCAATAACACCACTATCATTATCACAATAATTCTCATAATTATCCGTCAAGCTCGACGAGTACGACGAAAACCCCAGCCGCCAAATCTGCATCATTCACATCAAAATATTCTCCTCTCCCTATCTACACATATCTCACCCTATATTTGTCTCTCTCTCTATCTCTCTCTCTATCTATCTCTCTCTTCCTCAACAGAAACACAACCGGTCACAGATGAGTCAGAAAGCACTCAGTCACACGGAACTGATGAACAGCTGACTACCACGCGTCAATTCGAACCAGCAACACCAGGTGAGTGAACTCATTATCCACTCAACACTCGTTCTCTCCAACCCTATCAATCCAATCGACCAGCTCGCCTCGCGTCGACTCGCCTCGCCTCGCCTTTCCTTGCCTTTCCTAGGATATGCTGACTTCCAATGCCACGATTTGCCCTCATTATCCATCCTTCACAACGCATCAACCGCCATCTGGTTCAATTCGCTCCCACACAAACTAACTGACGAGTTATCTAATAAACTAAATAACTGACGAGCAAATCAACAAACAACCGGCTAACCAAATAACAAACTCAATCACACACCCACTCACTATATAACTAAGTATCTAACTAATTAACCAACTAAACAGCTCACTGAACTACTCACTGACCAACTCACCAACCAACTGAGTAACCAACGAACAATAACAACTAACACAGAATTCACGGAAACACAGCGAAATCGCTGAATTCAAGGCGACAATGTGCAAAGTCACACACGAAATCACCTCAACACAATACACACAACACTACACAACACAACACAGCAAGAAGAAACACAACAAGGCACAGCACAACACTGCACAGAACAACGAAACACAGCACACCAGAGCACAAAACAGCACAACATATAAACACTCAAAACAGCACACCACATTCTCTCACATATTCATACACAAGGAAACACCAGATAACACAAGACTACACATTCCTTGAAAACCATCATCACCATCATCCCTCACGGCAGATGATTTCGACGACAAACCCACCCACCAATTCTGCATCATTCACATCAAAATATTCTCCTCTCCCTATCTACACATATCTCACCCTATATTTGTCTCTCTCTATCTATCTCTCTCTCTCTATTTCTCCCCCTCAACAGAAACACAACCGGTCACAGATGAGTCAGAAAGCACTCAGTCACATGGAACTGATGAACAGCTGACCACCACGCGTCAATTCGAACCAACAACACCAGGTGAGTCAACTCATTTTCCCATCAACAAATGAAAAGCTTCAAATATATATCGTCGAGTTTGTAGACGATGGAATTATTTTAAGCCACACTGTGGAATATTTTCCACATGACACCTGACTCAGTGCAGTTTATATTATTTTCTATTTGAAATCACTGCGAAAATTTATTATCAATTGGTATCATTTGTTCAATATGATGCGGAATTTTCCGCTTTGTTTTCGAAAAAATCCGCTTTTTTCAACTGGTTGTTATATCTAATTTTCGTATATGTTGGAATATGTCTATCGACTGATTTTATGTATCTCTTTTTTGATTGCAGCTTGATTCCATGCTGTAATTTTTGGTACAAGTATGGAATTTTCATCATGGATATCGGTATCCCAAATTTCGCAGGCCGACCATAGATATCAGGTGTGTGTCGGCAGGGGATCGAACCTCGGACCATGTGCATGGTCGGCGAGAGTGTACACCACTGTGTCACCAGCGCACAAATTCAACCTTTATTCAGATCTAGATTCGGCGAATATCTACACTAGTCAGTAGGGAATATACACATTCGCAACAAGGGAACCATGTGTCTTCTAGGATATGAACCACCTCTAAAACGAGGAAATTATCTTATCTGACACAAAACAGTGAGATGAGATGATTTTCAATCCAGCCAACTTTACACTCACGTGTTATGTATGAGACATTCGATGTTCAACTCTTCTAGAGAATTAGATGTCCGTTCACAGATATGTGGTTTCCTCATTGGGAAGCTGCAACCACCACCTGTGATTGAGTAGTAGAGTGGTGACTAGCCACTCTGGAGAGTCAGTCTCGATTTCCAACTGACTTGCTTGTAGACCTCGTCTACTTTAGTAACAGGTTGGACATGAATACAGCAACCACACCGATGCTGAGAATTACGAGGGCATGACCCCTTGTGTTCTGCCCAACACGCGACGACTGAAAGAAAAGTAGGCGGTTGAAAATTTATTCCAAAGGTTTGCAGTCTTCTTAGTGAAAGATTTTGTTCATAATTCAACATCAATGCCTTTTCTGGCTGTGTAATACCGTGAGAGATTATCAAATAGATTTTCCGTTCTATGGAACCAAATTTAAAATCACTCGTAGGTTATTATTCATACAAATTTAGTCTTCAGACTGTGAGTGGCAATACTCACTCACTAATGGAGAAAATGTGACTAGAATTCATACATAACTCCAAATTTGTTGATATATCTCCACCCGTTCATGATGGTATTCACTGATGACAAGTATATTCCTGATTTATTTCAGATGTATTTCTGGCTGAATTGGATCTAATCGTCAGAGACTGGAACGAAACAATCACCAAGAGTGGTGACGCTGCATCATTACAGATTTTGGATGAATATTGTCGAGATGTAAGTGATTACAATACTTGATGAATTGAGCGATTAGTCGAATTTTGATAAGACCGTTTGGAAGGAGTCATCACCGTGTGAGTTATCATGTTCGGTAGTGTAGCGGTGTTGTCAGCTGATCGGCGAGAAGAGGACTGTGATGCAGGTGCATGAATACTCCTGTCGACTGAATGTTGATTCACCCTGATAATTTATACTTTGTTTCACTCTTGTTGACCGATCACACATAACCCACATCTACTCGTTACTCATATCTGATTTGTTCTGCCTTGCACTGAATCAATCAATCAATCAGGTGAAGGAGTTTTTGAGGCAAGTCGAGCCGAGATTGCAGTCAGTTCAATTGTCGTGTGATATTCCATCACCAGGAAGTCAGAATTTCCACGAAGCCGATCAGATCACAGTAGTGATTGCGATGTCAACTCGTCAGATGAAGCAGAAATTCACCACGACAGATTGGTTCGGCGAGCTCAAGGAATCACTGGAATATAGGATCAACAACGAGAAGGACCAATGGACAAGTGGTGAGTGAATTGTTACCCTATTCTTCACTGGAATATAATCAGCGATTAGGAATGAGGAGAGACTTGTGACAGGTGTGTGTTTGCAATATTTTGTTTTATTCAGAGATAACCGAAGAGACGGATTGATGTCGCGCTCATGATGGTTGTTCAGCTTCATACTGACGGATGGAATCCTCATGGAGCAATGAGAAACAATTTGTTGCCTCCAAAATGATACTCACTAATGCATTTATCTTCCACGAATGTTGATGGAGGGAAGTGTGTGTTTTGTCTCATTATAGGTATTCTCTCAGTTCGGGGTAAGTCTGTGATTTGTGTAACATTTCCATGTCCCTGTCACATGCAATATGTCATTGAGAACAAACCACATTGGAGGGAATGTGATATGTTTTGACAGTCACTCATACTCATCCAGACTGAATTCAATGTGAGTGCTGTGATGAAGACGGGCAACTCACATCCTCCTGGTTGATCGTGATGTGTAGTCGAATGTCCGATGCTTCCTGAGGGGAACACGTGAAAAGTAGTATGAGGCTGTTGGTGACTTGTTGAATGGTTCCCTCTCATTGTTGGATGAAATCATTGTATGTTGGAACGGAAGAGGATGTGATGGTGTGTATGAGGATTGTGGTCAGTTATGTATGATCAATTTTCATGGGCCTGATTTCGAAGTGAGTGGGAGAAGCCGACAGCGTTGCGTTGTGGCTTCGAGTGTTTCTGCTGTTCCCGCCTAATCGATGAATGTTTCATTCTCAGTTCCTAAATCGCTTGTTCAATTTTCTTTACAGAGGGGGAATGGCGTCATGGAGCAGGTGAGCAGTGGATTGAGTTATGATGTGTATTATCATGTTTGCTAGCTAATTTTGATGTGGTCGAGTTGACGGCGAATGTTTGTTGTTTGACGACTGGATGTTTCTCATTCCGATAAGTGTTCCACGAAGTAACAATAATAATAATAATAATAATAATATATAATAATTGTAACACTACAAAATCGACACAAGTTTCTTCTTCGTTATGTCTGACTTGAATGAATCATCGTGAAACCTGAGAATACTTCAGAGTGTATGGATAGCGGAGAGTGTAACTGACTCGAATGCATATGAGAGTGATGGATTCCTGCACCAACATTTCCACTGGAAATGGGTATTTGTCGTTGTGTAGATTTTGTTTATCAGTTTACTTTGAGAGAACATTTCGCTCAGGTGTGATGTGATCAGTGAATGATGAATTTTTCAATTTCAGAACACAAATTTGTGTACATCGACGATGTTGGATTCGGTCGAGGTCGGTGTGAACAGGTCAGTTTTCGTATGATTGATAATTTTAACTAGGTATGAGTATGTGTGGGAGTGATTGTTGAAGACATTCACTCCGTGGTGGATGTTTCACAGTGGATATTCCAGTATCGACGCTGAGGATTCTGGTATTGTGTGATTCATCAACATCCGCGTGTTTGTGTGTGAGTGTTTCTCTGTGTTTTGATATGAAGTGTACAATGTAGATAAATGGACGGACTCAGTGGAGCTCTGTCATATTATCTCCTTCATAGTGGTTTCGTCTGATAGTCAACTGAGGGCTCAGGAAGCGTTATTTTCCAAGGGATGCACTCCAACGGAGTTTGTCTACCTGTTGAAACTGTTATCTCGTGTAAAATTGCCACCCCTAACATTTTGAAAATCAAAACAAGTGATTCAGCTGAAAGACTCTTTTCAACGGATTTATCATCGAGGTCTACAATCGTATATTCATGGATTTTGTGACGTTACATCCAGTGTGGTAATTCAATCTTAGGTGTGAATGCATGTAACAATATTAGTAATAATACTATGAAATGTGACTAGAAACTAAAATGTTTGTGATTATAATCATAGGGAAATATCAAGTGGCAAGGCAAATTATTGTCATATATGGAATAATCCACGGGATGTATAGAACTTGAAAAAGGGTGTGCAATTTCGGGATTAGTAGACAAATCGAATGAAATTAAACCATTACGCAATATTGTGTGAAATTTGATAGCATAGAGTTTCACGTTATAAAAAAGAATTGATATAGAATGACAAGTGGAACAAGTGAAATAATACTGGGGACAGTTCAATTTGAGAGTAGTAATAGTAACAATTGACATTGTAATAAGGAAGAGACTACAAACTGAATAGACAAAATGAAAAAATGAAAGATTGGTAGAGCTAAAATATGATTGAGGATTACCATATTTTATCATAGAGTGATTAGGACCATGAAAGCTGGAGGTGTTGAACGAACGTTTTCTGTACACAGAGATCTGGCTTTTCTGTTTCGATAGCCAAAGATGGCTTCAGAAATACAGATGAGTCGGGTACGTGGGGATTTGGGTAAATCACTGTTTGCCTTGTAGATGACTTTGAAGGCGGAGGCTGTACAGTGTGACTATGACCGGATGTTCAGTGATCGCGCTTCTTATTGCTCCACTTCCACCTCTTCGTAACCATGCAGGATAGTGTTCTTGCACCCTCTTGGACAAAACTCGAGTCGAACGACCGATATACCCAGCTCCACACGAGCAGGTGAATTCATAAACGCACATAGAGTTGGTCAACAGTGGGATCTTGTCCTGCAGGTTATTGAACAGTAAACGTCGACTAGTAAAGGCTATTCTCAGAGATGCAGCAGGGAATGTTATTTTCAGGGACTGTGATATCCTTCGTTTCATGATATCGGAAGCTAAGTCTTCTTTGAATTACAAGCACATGTAAAGTATTTTCTTGGGTACGGATGATAAGTCACGTTTTATAGGATTTGAATGTATATTCTCATCTATAAAACGTGGTGGAAATCCATTTTCTATTAGGATTCTCCTCAGAAGGTATGACTCATCTCCCACAGTATCAGGGCTACATATGTGCCAAATGGGAGTGGCAAGTGACCGGACCAAGTTTCATTTTCGACCAATGGGTACCCAGCTGTAGAAATTTGTCACCTGACCATTCCATGACAGCTTTCGATAAATCGATCTCTACACAGTTTCATCCGTCCTCCTTGATAAGTTCACATTGAGGAAATGAATGCTAGACTCATTCTCCTTTTCGAATGTGTGAATTTTATCGCAGGATGGCAACCATTGAATGCATTTATAATAATATTCAAATGACAATCACTATTACAAATAATATAGGTGTCATCTACATACCCTTTATACATTTGAAAGCTTTGGATTGTTGACTTCAACTGACCATTTTCTAGACTGTCCATAAAACAGTCTGAGAGGAGACGACCCAAAGGAGGACCCATTGCAATACCATCCTTCTGTCTGTAGATTGTTTTATTGAAAGTAAGCTGTACATTCACTGCACATCTCAGAAGTAGTTCTTCAGATCTGTAGTGAGTATCCCTATATTCAAATTGTTGTCTTCAATATATCTGCATATAAATCATATGGCTTCTGTCAGTGGAACGTTCGAGAATTTACTGCTGTCTGAAAGTAGATGTGACATTTTATCAATGCAACATTTACGAACCACTTTGAACTGTCCCCGGTATTATTTCACTTGTTCTACTTGTCATTCTAAATCGATTCTGTTTTCCAACGTTAAATTCTATGCCATCGAATTTCACACAATACTACGTAACGTATTAATTTTATCCGATTTGCCTACTAATCCTATAATTTCCAACCCTTCCATGTACTATACACCATATGAACTATTCTATGCATGACATTAATTGCTTTACCGCTCGACATTTAACTATGATTATAATCACAAACATTTTAGTTTTTAATTGCATTTCATACTACTATTATTATTATTATTCTATGCATTCACACCTATGATTGAATTCCCTCACCGGATGTAAATTCACAAAAACCATGAATATACGATTGTACAGCTCGATGATAAACAATAATTTAGTTATTTCAATATATAAATATATATATATTCAGCTCGCATCCAAAAGTCCTCATTTTGTGATATTCCATCAGTCTGATCTATCCAGTTCTGATAAGCAACGCTTAAAGAGAACCCTCATGCAATAGTACCATGAAGAGTCAGACGACTGACTGCTGTGTGGGCATACCTAAAGGTGTGTTCGTATATGTGAATAATTGATGAACAGAAATTTAACAAATGCAGTGATCAACATAAAAGACAACTGAAAATTCAAACGTCTGGCTCGAAACCGTGTGCGAACTAAATGGATGACTAAGGCGTAATATGTATTCAGTGAGTTGGTGGTGATTAGTGACACTGGTCAATGATTCCGAACGAGACCAGTTGATATCAGAGTGGATAGTAACCGGTTGTATTCCCTTATCATTTGAATACCGTCTTGACAGATATATAAATCGGCCGAACTCACACAAGTGGGATTTGTGAGTGGCCGGTTTTTGTTAAAATCAGCTTCAGTATTTCAATTGATTAGCATGTCGTAAATCGTGTGTAATTTTTATGATTCTGTATATTTCAGTTGAAGAAAGTGGTGAGGGAGCTGTATCCAGGTTTGGAAGAAGCGGTGACTAATTGTTCACTGGACAGCGTAATGAAGCAAATCACCTTGGAAGTATCGTACGAGCGTCTTATAGAGAAAGAGTACTATAGTTTCAATAATGTTCTGTATAGACGATTCAAGGTGGCTGTTTTGGATATGATTGAGCGTATGAAAGTTGGAGGTATGTTTCATAATGTTGAGTTCGTTTTTACAATGGTATTCGTTCGCAGGAAATGTTTACTGTGCTTATGATAATTGACAGTGTGTGAGTAATGCCTTTTTCCGATAGTCATTCTGGGACGTAGGTGAGAAGAGAGACTTCACATCGATCTGAACACCTGACTATATTGGTGAATAATTAGTTGAATAATTAGTTACTCAGTAAATTCACTTCACTTTTTCGTCTTCAGTAATATTGTTGTTGTTTTCAGTATGCAGTTTCCGATTTCCTGGTGGGAGATGGGACCTCAGTGATACATCTGACCGGGACTCGGTTTATGTCACACACCACTCACAGCTCACCTCAAATCTCATCCAACGACCTGATTCCCTGTCCACTTGATCTTCTCCATGTCGCCATCGGATTCACATCCGGTAACTACCCATTCCGATTCGACCGACTGTCTGTCACGATTATTTCCAATCAGATATCAACCTCATTCCACATACTTGTCGGCTGTTAACTCGTTTTCTGGTACACCTGACTATTTCTCATCCTTTCTGAAGTAGCCATCTCACGTGTTGAGTGAATTCAGTTGTTGTTGGTGTATGGTTGCAGCCTGGTGGAGATAATTTCAGGGATGTGTCAAGTCTGTGAAGTATAGGGCAGCACTCGCTGACTGCCTTACTGAATGGCTGACTGACTAACTGACTGACGCACCTATTACTCTCATCGGATGTTGTTTCATGAGCTGATCTATGTCAATCTACATGTTGAGTTCAGAGTAATAAACGCCAGTCCCTCTTCTTCTCGATTTCTGAGTGGCATTGAAATCCTGATGCGTGCCAACTGACCTGCAAGCCTTCCTGACCATATGAGTGATAGAGGCGAATTTCTTCATTGATCAACTAGTGATAGTGACTGTTTCTGTTGTTGATTGTTTTTGTTTTTGTTGTTGTTGTTGTTGTTTATCGATCGTCTTCATCATCCCTGTTTGGCGTGCGATTTCAAACATCATTTGTGTTAGAGAGACAGGAAAATTTGATTTTGCCTACACGAAGTCGAGATCTTCAGGATTCCAGCCTTTTATCGACTCAACTCACGACTCCATGTTCTAACGGATGACGCACGCCACTACAATTTTGAGTATCATCAGTGATGGCGGGCACGTTTGTCACTCACACCTCGAAAGCTTCCATGAGATATGTGACATGTGACTCCACCATACAGGTATCGAGTGAGGTCAGTGAAGTTTGTGGCATTCTGTAGTGTAATGTAGTGTAGAAACAGTCTCCCAATCAATTCACATTCGACTCTGTGAAATGTCTGTTGAAAGTCAATAACAGTACACTAACAACTATAACAGAATAATGTTTGATGAGTTTATTATTCTGAGCATAAGGAATGCGGTCCGGTAAATGTTGCTTCTGTTGTCAGCGTTACACACTTATTCATTGCAATACAGGCTTGTTGAGAATGTCCGAATCACAAGCTGTGCAGTGTCCTTCGCACTTATACTGCGATGTCACTGCGTCATCCGACAGTATCTAGGTAACGCAGATGGTGTTTATGATGATGATGATGATGATCCTATGGTTTCAGTCTTGTTTTCGACCGGCTGTCACTTGATTAGTTCTATGCATAGATGATTGTAGAAGTTGACGGAACTACCTTGGTCATACGTTTCGCGGAATTGTGGGTAGCCAGCTGTCAAAGATGTCATGTGAATACAGGATATTTTATGAAGACTGAATTGAAACAGTTCTCTGGTGCTTGTCAGTATTCACGAAATGTGGATATATGTTCTCTTGTGGATGGGAACCTTGTAGAGACAAGTGACATTTCGAATACATGCGACTGTTGGATGTCATTGCTACATATTGCATACAATGCAATCTTCAGATGATGGGTAGTACAAGAAGAGAAGACACGGCGACTGTGATGGTCGAGTGTAATTCCGCCGTAGAATAATCTTCCTTGGTGGAAGTAAACAGTGACATGAGATTTCCAGCACAGTTAATAGCTCAGTGCGATGCATCAGGTTGAATATGAAGCAGAAGGTCATCGAAGAAAACATAAAGAAATGGTCGCCCCATGTCGTGAATTGGCAGAAGTTAGAATTAATGGGCCTGTGGATCGGGTCCCAGTGGCTCAATGATGCACGAACTCGCCTTGATTCGAACTCGTATGGTGATTTCGTACTGATGAGGCGGTGAAACAAGAAATAAACAGCTGTCCAGTAGTCAGAGGTTTCCCAGTTGTTCTCTAACTGATGAACCTCATGATTAAATCCTCCATAAATTCCAGAAATGACAATAACGGAATACAAAATCCTAATAGTGAAGAACATGTATTCCGAGAGAAAGACGAAATAAGATATAAGGATTAACTGAACAAAAGTGCCCATTAAAATTTTCAAAAGAATGGATACTGAACAAAAAGTACTCTTTTCGATAAATTCATCATCAGGCTCTACATTTATACATTTATTATAGTGAATGAATGAGTTAGTGTTATAAACGACATTAATGTTTGACTAACATCAACTCAATAATATTGATAAATTACACCTGTATCGCATCAACATAGAATAAGCTGAATGTGAGAAACATTAAGAAAGATAAAGTACAAATTCATGGGTTACTCAGTAAGGGAGAGGAATATGATATTCGGTAAAATTATTCAGAAATTTGTAAAAAGATGAGGAGTTATAATTCACGAAAGCCCGCAGCGCGAGAAACAAACGCTGTGGAAATCAAAGAAAGAAAAGTAAAACCTGCTGAATAAGAAGAACATAAGGAAAAAGGCCGATAAACGTGAATGTTGATAGGAATTCAAAAATAATAAAAACAGAAGAGCAACACACAGGAACCATGACACAACACAGCACGTCACGCTAACTCACATATCCATACGCAAGTAAAGAAGAGATAACTCAACAATACAAATTTACTGGAAACCACCAGTTATCAACAATCAATAACACCACTATCATTATCACAATAATTCTCATAATTATCCGTCAAGCTCGACGAGTACGACGAAAACCCCAGCCGCCAAATCTGCATCATTCACATCAAAATATTCTCCTCTCCCTATCTACACATATCTCACCCTATATTTGTCTCTCTCTCTATCTCTCTCTCTATCTATCTCTCTCTTCCTCAACAGAAACACAACCGGTCACAGATGAGTCAGAAAGCACTCAGTCACACGGAACTGATGAACAGCTGACTACCACGCGTCAATTCGAACCAGCAACACCAGGTGAGTGAACTCATTATCCACTCAACACTCGTTCTCTCCAACCCTATCAATCCAATCGACCAGCTCGCCTCGCGTCGACTCGCCTCGCCTCGCCTTTCCTTGCCTTTCCTAGGATATGCTGACTTCCAATGCCACGATTTGCCCTCATTATCCATCCTTCACAACGCATCAACCGCCATCTGGTTCAATTCGCTCCCACACAAACTAACTGACGAGTTATCTAATGAACTAAATAACTGACGAGCAAATCAACAAACAACCGGCTAACCAAATAACAAACTCAATCACACACCCATTCACTATATAACTAAGTATCTAACTAATTAACCAACTAAACAGCTCACTGAACTACTCACTGACCAACTCACCAACCAACTGAGTAACCAACGAACAATAACAACTAACACAGAATTCACGGAAACACAGCGAAATCGCTGAATTCAAGGCGACAATGTGCAAAGTCACACACGAAATCACCTCAACACAATACACACAACACTACACAACACAACACAGCAAGAAGAAACACAACAAGGCACAGCACAACACTGCACAGAACAACGAAACACAGCACACCAGAGCACAAAACAGCACAACATATAAACACTCAAAACAGCACACCACATTCTCTCACATATTCATACACAAGGAAACACCAGATAACACAAGACTACACATTCCTTGAAAACCATCATCACCATCATCCCTCACGGCAGATGATTTCGACGACAAACCCACCCACCAATTCTGCATCATTCACATCAAAATATTCTCCTCTCCCTATCTACACATATCTCACCCTATATTTGTCTCTCTCTATCTATCTATCTCTCTCTCTATTTCTCCCCCTCAACAGAAACACAACCGGTCACAGATGAGTCAGAAAGCACTCAGTCACATGGAACTGATGAACAGCTGACCACCACGCGTCAATTCGAACCAACAACACCAGGTGAGTCAACTCATTTTCCCATCAACAAATGAAAAGCTTCAAATATATATCGTCGAGTTTGTAGACGATGGAATTATTTTAAGCCACACTGTGGAATATTTTCCACATGACACCTGACTCAGTGCAGTTTATATTATTTTCTATTTGAAATCACTGCGAAAATTTATTATCAATTGGTATCATTTGTTCAATATGATGCGGAATTTTCCGCTTTGTTTTCGAAAAAATCCGCTTTTTTCAACTGGTTGTTATATCTAATTTTCGTATATGTTGGAATATGTCCATCGACTGATTTTATATATCTCTTTTTTGATTGCAGCTTGATTCCATGCTGTAATTTTTGGTACAAGTATGGAATTTTCATCATGGATATCGGTATCCCAAATTTCGCAGGCCGACCATAGATATCAGGTGTGTGTCGGCAGGGGATCGAACCTCGGACCATGTGCATGGTCGGCGAGAGTGTACACCACTGTGTCACCAGCGCACAAATTCAACCTTTATTCAGATCTAGATTCGGCGAATATCTACACTAGTCAGTAGGGAATATACACATTCGCAACAAGGGAACCATGTGTCTTCTAGGATATGAACCACCTCTAAAACGAGGAAATTATCTTATCTGACACAAAACAGTGAGATGAGATGATTTTCAATCCAGCCAACTTTACACTCACGTGTTATGTATGAGACATTCGATGTTCAACTCTTCTAGAGAATTAAATGTCCGTTCACAGATATGTGGTTTCCTCATTGGGAAGCTGCAACCACCACCTGTGATTGAGTAGTAGAGTGGTGACTAGCCACTCTGGAGAGTCAGTCTCGATTTCCAACTGACTTGCTTGTAGACCTCGTCTACTTTAGTAACAGGTTGGACATGAATACAGCAACCACACCGATGCTGAGAATTACGAGGGCATGACCCCTTGTGTTCTGCCCAACACGCGACGACTGAAAGAAAAGTAGGCGGTTGAAAATTTATTCCAAAGGTTTGCAGTCTTCTTAGTGAAAGATTTTGTTCATAATTCAACATCAATGCCTTTTCTGGCTGTGTAATACCGTGAGAGATTATCAAATAGATTTTCCGTTCTATGGAACCAAATTTAAAATCACTCGTAGGTTATTATTCATACAAATTTAGTCTTCAGACTGTGAGTGGCAATACTCACTCACTAATGGAGAAAATGTGACTAGAATTCATACATAACTCCAAATTTGTTGATATATCTCCACCCGTTCATGATGGTATTCACTGATGACAAGTATATTCCTGATTTATTTCAGATGTATTTCTGGCTGAATTGGATCTAATCGTCAGAGACTGGAACGAAACAATCACCAAGAGTGGTGACGCTGCATCATTACAGATTTTGGATGAATATTGTCGAGATGTAAGTGATTACAATACTTGATGAATTGAGCGATTAGTCGAATTTTGATAAGACCGTTTGGAAGGAGTCATCACCGTGTGAGTTATCATGTTCGGTAGTGTAGCGGTGTTGTCAGCTGATCGGCGAGAAGAGGACTGTGATGCAGGTGCATGAATACTCCTGTCGACTGAATGTTGATTCACCCTGATAATTTATACTTTGTTTCACTCTTGTTGACCGATCACACATAACCCACATCTACTCGTTACTCATATCTGATTTGTTCTGCCTTGCACTGAATCAATCAATCAATCAGGTGAAGGAGTTTTTGAGGCACGTCGAGCCGAGATTGCAGTCAGTTCAATTGTCGTGTGATATTCCATCACCAGGAAGTCAGAATTTCCACGAAGCCGATCAGATCACAGTAGTGATTGCGATGTCAACTCGTCAGATGAAGCAGAAATTCACCACGACAGATTGGTTCGGCGAGCTCAAGGAATCACTGGAATATAGGATCAACAACGAGAAGGACCAATGGACAAGTGGTGAGTGAATTGTTACCCTATTCTTCACTGGAATATAATCAGCGATTAGGAATGAGGAGAGACTTGTGACAGGTGTGTGTTTGCAATATTTTGTTTTATTCAGAGATAACCGAAGAGACGGATTGATGTCGCGCTCATGATAGTTGTTCAGCTTCATACTGACGGATGGAATCCTCATGGAGCAATGAGAAACAATTTGTTGCCTCCAAAATGATACTCACTAATGCATTTATCTTCCACGAATGTTGATGGAGGGAAGTGTGTGTTTTGTCTCATTATAGGTATTCTCTCAGTTCGGGGTAAGTCTGTGATTTGTGTAACATTTCCATGTCCCTGTCACATGCAATATGTCATTGAGAACAAACCACATTGGAGGGAATGTGATATGTTTTGACAGTCACTCATACTCATCCAGACTGAATTCAATGTGAGTGCTGTGATGAAGACGGGCAACTCACATCCTCCTGATTGATCGTGATGTGTAGTCGAATGTCCGATGCTTCCTGAGGGGAACACGTGAAAAGTAGTATGAGGCTGTTGGTGACTTGTTGAATGGTTCCCTCTCATTGTTGGATGAAATCATTGTATGTTGGAACGGAAGAGGATGTGATGGTGTGTATGAGGATTGTGGTCAGTTATGTATGATCAATTTTCATGGGCCTGATTTCGAAGTGAGTGGGAGAAGCCGACAGCGTTGCGTTGTGGCTTCGAGTGTTTCTGCTGTTCCCGCCTAATCGATGAATGTTTCATTCTCAGTTCCTAAATCGCTTGTTCAATTTTCTTTACAGAGGGGGAATGGCGTCATGGAGCAGGTGAGCAGTGGATTGAGTTATGATGTGTATTATCATGTTTGCTAGCTAATTTTGATGTGGTCGAGTTGACGGCGAATGTTTGTTGTTTGACGACTGGATGTTTCTCATTCCGATAAGTGTTCCACGAAGTAACAATAATAATAATAATAATAATCATAATAATTGTAACACTACAAAATCGACACAAGTTTCTTCTTCGTTATGTCTGACTTGAATGAATCATCGTGAAACCTGAGAATACTTCAGAGTGTATGGATAGCGGAGAGTGTAACTGACTCGAATGCATATGAGAGTGATGGATTCCTGCACCAACATTTCCACTGGAAATGGGTATTTGTCGTTGTGTAGATTTTGTTTATCAGTTTACTTTGAGAGAACATTTCGCTCAGGTGTGATGTGATCAGTGAATGATGAATTTTTCAATTTCAGAACACAAATTTGTGTACATCGACGATGTTGGATTCGGTCGAGGTCGGTGTGAACAGGTCAGTTTTCGTATGATTGATAATTTTAACTAGGTATGAGTATGTGTGGGAGTGATTGTTGAAGACATTCACTCCGTGGTGGATGTTTCACAGTGGATATTCCAGTATCGACGCTGAGGATTCTGGTATTGTGTGATTCATCAACATCCGCGTGTTTGTGTGTGAGTGTTTCTCTGTGTTTTGATATGAAGTGTACAATGTAGATAAATGGACGGACTCAGTGGAGCTCTGTCATATTATCTCCTTCATAGTGGTTTCGTCTGATAGTCAACTGAGGGCTCAGGAAGCGTTATTTTCCAAGGGATGCACTCCAACGGAGTTTGTCTACCTGTTGAAACTGTTATCTCGTGTAAAATTGCCACCCCTAACATTTTGAAAATCAAAACAAGTGATTCAGCTGAAAGACTCTTTTCAACGGATTTATCATCGAGGTCTACAATCGTATATTCATGGATTTTGTGACGTTACATCCAGTGTGGTAATTCAATCTTAGGTGTGAATGCATGTAACAATATTAGTAATAATACTATGAAATGTGACTAGAAACTAAAATGTTTGTGATTATAATCATAGGGAAATATCAAGTGGCAAGGCAAATTATTGTCATATATGGAATAATCCACGGGATGTATAGAACTTGAAAAAGGGTGTGCAATTTCGGGATTAGTAGACAAATCGAATGAAATTAAACCATTACGCAATATTGTGTGAAATTTGATAGCATAGAGTTTCACGTTATAAAAAAGAATTGATATAGAATGACAAGTGGAACAAGTGAAATAATACTGGGGACAGTTCAATTTGACAGTAGTAATAGTAACAATTGACATTGTAATAAGGAAGAGACTACAAACTGAATAGACAAAATGAAAAAATGAAAGATTGGTAGAGCTAAAATATGATTAGGGATTACCATATTTTATCATAGAGTGATTAGGACCATGAAAGCTGGAGGTGTTGAACGAACGTTTTCTGTACACAGAGATCTGGCTTTTCTGTTTCGATAGCCAAAGATGGCTTCAGAAATACAGATGAGTCGGGTACGTGGGGATTTGGGTAAATCACTGTTTGCCTTGTAGATGACTTTGAAGGCGGAGGCTGTACAGTGTGACTATGACCGGATGTTCAGTGATCGCGCTTCTTATTGCTCCACTTCCACCTCTTCGTAACCATGCGGGATAGTGTTCTTGCACCCTCTTGGACAAAACTCGAGTCGAACGACCGATATACCTAGCTCCACACGAGCAGATGAATTCATAAACGCACATAGAGTTGGTCAACAGTGGGATCTTGTCCTGCAGGTTATTGAACAGTAAACGTCGACTAGTAAAGGCTATTCTCAGAGATGCAGCAGGGAATGTTATTTTCAGGGACTGTGATATCCTTCGTTTCATGATATCGGAAGCTAAGTCTTCTTTGAATTACAAGCACATGTAAAGTATTTTCTTGGGTACGGATGATAAGTCACGTTTTATAGGATTTGAATGTATATTCTCATCTATAAAACGTGGTGGAAATCCATTTTCTATTAGGATTCTCCTCAGAAGGTATGACTCATCTCCCACAGTATCAGGGCTACATATGTGCCAAATGGGAGTGGCAAGTGACCGGACCAAGTTTCATTTTCGACCAATGGGTACCCAGCTGTAGAAATTTGTCACCTGACCATTCCATGACAGCTTTCGATAAATCGATCTCTACACAGTTTCATCCGTCCTCCTTGATAAGTTCACATTGAGGAAATGAATGCTAGACTCATTCTCCTTTTCGAATGTGTGAATTTTATCGCAGGATGGCAACCATTGAATGCATTTATTATAATATTCAAATGACAATCACTATTACAAATAATATAGGTGTCATCTACATACCCTTTATACATTTGAAAGCTTTGGATTGTTGACTTCAACTGACCATTTTCTAGACTGTCCATAAAACAGTCTGAGAGGAGACGACCCAAAGGAGGACCCATTGCAATACCATCCTTCTGTCTGTAGATTGTTTTATTGAAAGTAAGCTGTACATTCACTGCACATCTCAGAAGTAGTTCTTCAGATCTGTAGTGAGTATCCCTATATTCAAATTGTTGTCTTCAATATATCTGCATATAAATCATATGGCTTCTGTCAGTGGAACGTTCGAGAATTTACTGCTGTCTGAAAGTAGATGTGACATTTTATCAATGCAACATTTACGAACCACTTTGAACTGTCCCCGGTATTATTTCACTTGTTCTACTTGTCATTCTAAATCGATTCTGTTTTCCAACGTTAAATTCTATGCCATCGAATTTCACACAATACTACGTAACGTATTAATTTTATCCGATTTGCCTACTAATCCTATAATTTCCAACCCTTCCATGTACTATACACCATATGAACTATTCTATGCATGACATTAATTGCTTTACCGCTCGACATTTAACTATGATTATAATCGCAAACATTTTAGTTTTTAATTGCATTTCATACTACTATTATTATTATTATTCTATGCATTCACACCTATGATTGAATTCCCTCACCGGATGTAAATTCACAAAAACCATGAATATACGATTGTACAGCTCGATGATAAACAATAATTTAGTTATTTCAATATATAAATATATATATATTCAGCTCGCATCCAAAAGTCCTCATTTTGTGATATTCCATCAGTCTGATCTATCCAGTTCTGATAAGCAACGCTTAAAGAGAACCCTCATGCAATAGTACCATGAAGAGTCAGACGACTGACTGCTGTGTGGGCATACCTAAAGGTGTGATCGTTTATGGGAATAATTGATGAACAGAAATTTAACAAATGCAGTGATCAACATAAAAGACAACTGAAAATTCAAACGTCTGGCTCGAAACCGTGTGCGAACTAAATGGATGACTAAGGCGTAATATGTATTCAGTGAGTTGGTGGTGATTAGTGACACTGGTCAATGATTCCGAACGAGACCAGTTGATATCAGAGTGGAAAGTAACCGGTTTTATTCCCTTATCATTTGAATACCGTCTTGACAGATATATAAATCGGCCGAACTCACACAAGTGGGATTTGTGAGTGGCCGGTTTTTGTTAAAATCAGCTTCAGTATTTCAATTGATTAGCATGTCGTAAATCGTGTGTAATTTTTATGATTCTGTATATTTCAGTTGAAGAAAGTGGTGAGGGAGCTGTATCCAGGTTTGGAAGAAGCGGTGACTAATTGTTCACTGGACAGCGTAATGAAGCAAATCACCTTGGAAGTATCGTACGAGCGTCTTATAGAGAAAGAGTACTATAGTTTCAATAATGTTCTGTATAGACGATTCAAGGTGGCTGTTTTGGATATGATTGAGCGTATGAAAGTTGGAGGTATGTTTCATAATGTTGAGTTCGTTTTTACAATGGTATTCGTTCGCAGGAAATGTTTACTGTGCTTATGATAATTGACAGTGTGTGAGTAATGCCTTTTTCCGATAGTCATTCTGGGACGTAGGTGAGAAGAGAGACTTCACATCGATCTGAACACCTGACTATATTGGTGAATAATTAGTTGAATAATTAGTTACTCAGTAAATTCACTTCACTTTTTCGTCTTCAGTAATATTGTTGTTGTTTTCAGTATGCAGTTTCCGATTTCCTGGTGGGAGATGGGACCTCAGTGATACATCTGACCGGGACTCGGTTTATGTCACCCACCACTCACAGCTCACCTCAAAACTCATCCAACGACCTGATTTCCTGTTCACTTGATCTTCTCCATGTTGCCATCGGATTCACATCCGGTAACTACCCATTCCGATTCGACCGACTGTCTGTCACGATTATTTCCAATCAGATATCAACCTCATTCCACATACTTGTCGGCTGTTAACTCGTTTTCTGGTACACCTGACTATTTCTCATCCTTTCTGAAGTAGCCATCTCACGTGTTGAGTGAATTCAGTTGTTGTTGGTGTATGGTTGCAGCCTGGTGGAGATAATTTCAGGGATGTGTCAAGTCTGTGAAGTATAGGGCAGCACTCGCTGACTGCCTTACTGAATGGCTGACTGACTAACTGACTGACGCACCTATTACTCTCATCGGATGTTGTTTCATGAGCTGATCTATGTCAATCTACATGTTGAGTTCAGAGTAATAAACGCCAGTCCCTCTTCTTCTCGATTTCTGAGTGGCATTGAAATCCTGATGCGTGCCAACTGACCTGCAAGCCTTCCTGACCATATGAGTGATAGAGGCGAATTTCTTCATTGATCAACTAGTGATAGTGACTGTTTCTGTTGTTGATTGTTTTTGTTTTTGTTGTTGTTGTTGTTGTTTATCGATCGTCTTCATCATCCCTGTTTGGCGTGCGATTTCAAACATCATTTGTGTTAGAGAGACAGGAAAATTTGATTTTGCCTACACGAAGTCGAGATCTTCAGGATTCCAGCCTTTTATCGACTCAACTCACGACTCCATGTTCTAACGGATGACGCACGCCACTACAATTTTGAGTATCATCAGTGATGGCGGGCACGTTTGTCACTCACACCTCGAAAGCTTCCATGAGATATGTGACATGTGACTCCACCATACAGGTATCGAGTGAGGTCAGTGAAGTTTGTGGCATTCTGTAGTGTAATGTAGTGTAGAAACAGTCTCCCAATCAATTCACATTCGACTCTGTGAAATGTCTGTTGAAAGTCAATAACAGTACACTAACAACTATAACAGAATAATGTTTGATGAGTTTATTATTCTGAGCATAAGGAATGCGGTCCGGTAAATGTTGCTTCTGTTGTCAGCGTTACACACTTATTCATTGCAATACAGGCTTGTTGAGAATGTCCGAATCACAAGCTGTGCAGTGTCCTTCGCACTTATACTGCGATGTCACTGCGTCATCCGACAGTATCTAGGTAACGCAGATGGTGTTATGATGATGATGATGATGATCCTATGGTTTCAGTCTTGTTTTCGACCGGCTGTCACTTGATTAGTTCTATGCATAGATGATTGTAGAAGTTGACGGAACTACCTTGGTCATACGTTTCGCGGAATTGTGGGTAGCCAGCTGTCAAAGATGTCATGTGAATACAGGATATTTTATGAAGACTGAATTGAAACAGTTCTCTGGTGCTTGTCAGTATTCACGAAATGTGGATATATGTTCTCTTGTGGATGGGAACCCTGTAGAGACAAGTGACATTTCGAATACATGCGACTGTTGGATGTCATTGCTACATATTGCATACAATGCAATCTTCAGATGATGGGTAGTACAAGAAGAGAAGACACGGCGACTGTGATTGTCGAGTGTAATTCCGCCGTAGAATAATCTTCCTTGGTGGAAGTAAACAGTGACATGAGATTTCCAGCACAGTTAATAGCTCAGTGTGATGCATCAGGTTGAATATGAAGCAGAAGGTCATCGAAGAAAACATAAAGAAATGGTCGCCCCATGTCGTGAATTGGCAGAAGTTAGAATTAATGGGCCTGTGGATCGGGTCCCAGTGGCTCAATGATGCACGAACTCGCCTTGATTCGAACTCGTATGGTGATTTCGTACTGATGAGGCGGTGAAACAAGAAATAAACAGCTGTCCAGTAGTCAGAGGTTTCCCAGTTGTTCTCTAACTGAAGAACCTCAAGATCAAGGTTTGGCGACGGGGAAAACTATGGATCCTTCTAAATTTGAAGTGCTACTTGAACGACAAATGAAATTATTGGAAATGTTCGTCAACCAACAGACTGGTTCAGCTTCACCTTCAAGCAATCCGAACCATACCATGCTACCATCTGTCGATGGAATTGTGAATAGTATTTCACAGTTCAGTTATAATCCAGATGCTAATGTCACTTTTGACACATGGTATCAACGTTATGAGGATTTATTCACTGTTGATCTCGCCTCACAACACGATGCTTGGAAGGTGCGAGTGTTGTTACGTAAATTGGGTCCGGCAGAATATGAACGGCACTGCAACCTAGTTTTACCCCAAAATCCACGTGACAAGTGTTTCGATGATACAATAAAGCTGCTGCGTGAACATTTTGGAGACCACTCCTCATTATTCAGCATACGTTATTGTTTCCTCAAGCTGACAATGAATGAAAATGATGATTTTCCTACTCACGTTGGCACAGTCAACCGAGAATGTGAGAGATTTCGACTCAGGTCCTTAACAGATGATCAATTCAAAGCCTTGATTCTCATATGCAGTCTTCAATCTCCTCGTTTCACAGATATCCGAACTCGACTGCTCAATCAGCTAGAACAAAATCCCAAGTTAACATTACATGACATAGCTGATGAATATCAACGGCTGATTAATTTACAGAAAGACACACACCTGGTCGAATCAACACCTTCGAAAAGCTCTGATATTCATACATTACGAAAGAGCAAAAATCTCTCATCATCCACTCCTGACCCACCTTTTTCTAATGTTCCGCGGAAATCTACACATACTCATCCAACTTCACAAAATACTGCAAAGAAGACCCCACCATCACCATGCTGGCATTGTGGCGCGTGGCACTTTGTAAAGTCTTGTCCGTACAAAAATCATCGTTGCAGCAAGTGCAAAATCATTGATCATAAAAATGGATTTTGTCAGCCACGCAAAACCAGATATCAAAATCCAGCGAAAGCTCGACAAACTGTTGGTCCTAAATCTCCAAGGAGATCATTGAGTCTACTCGCAACCTGTAAAGCCACAACACCAGGTATGCGGAAATATCTTGATCTTCAGATGAATGGTCATGATACACGTCTGCAGATAGATACCGCCTCTGATATTACTGTTATATCAGAGAAACTTTGGAATAATATTGGCAGACCGCCAACCGCAAATACTTCCCAGACTCTTCTCAGCGCCTGTGGTGGGCGGCTCAAACTAATTGGTGAACTCAAATGTTCTGTTTCATTCCGTAACATCAAATTCACAGGAATTTGCTACGTCACCAAGAGTGATTTAAATCTTTTGGGACTTGATTGGTTCGATCGTTTGCATCTGGCTGATGTCCCACTAAATTCGCTATGCAATGCAGTCAAGAAGCATAAAATGTCAGACAATTCCGGACGAAGCCGAAGCCGCAAACCCAACAGGCAGACGAAACGACAGACGTCAACAACAAGCCCAAAGGTTCGAGATAAACCCCCAGGGAAACATCCTACTAATCATCAATCTTCTCAAAAGGGGAGGTGATATGTATCCATGTATATATATATATATATATATGTGTGTATGGTGATCTCTCTTTCTGTTTGCTCGCTTAGTCTGTGACCATTTCACTTTGATGAACCTCTCTTCTTTAACAATGTATATTCCCCTTATATTATATATAATATGAGTGTTTGTTGACAGTCCGTTGATTGGTGACATATATCAATATTATATGTGTGGTTGTTGACATGTATGCTATATTTTGCTGTGTATATATGGATCGACACCCCATTATAATTAGCCATTCATGTTAAGACTGTCTATTGATTTGTTCACACACTTGTCTGTACATTCATATATATTTCGCTCTAACAATCTTGTGACACTTACTTACTTTGGTGTGAAACCACTTATTGCTTCTCCTTGTGTTTGGACAATAGAAGTATCATCGCAAACCTAGTGGTCTTCTGATTTCCACCTTCTTGCGTCAGGACTATTAAATTCTCGACCAGTACATAGCAATAATTTGGCGACAAGTACATAACAGAAATCCTCCATAAATTCCAGAAATGACAAACACGGAATACAAAATTGTAATACTGAAGAACATGTTTTACGAGAGAAAGACGAAATAAGATAAAAGGATTACACAGAAAGGGAGAGGAATATGACATTCGGTAAAATTAATCGGAAATTTGTAAAAGGATGAGGATTTATAATTCATGAAAGCCCGCAGAGCGAGAAACAAACGCTCTTGAAATAAAAGTAAAACCTGCCAGGAAAGACCAACATAAAGAAAATGGCAGAAAAACTTGAATGTAAGGTGGAATTCAAAATTAATAAAAAAATCAGAGCAACACACAGGAACCCCGACACAACACAGCACATCACGCTAGTTCACATAACCCCATACAAGGAAAGACGTAATAACACAAATGTGAAATTGAATGGAAACTATCAGATATTATCAAACATTAAGACAACCATCGTCATCATAATAATTCTCGATATAATCCGTCCGGCTCGATGATTTCAGCGACAAACTCACCCACCAATTCTGCATCATTCACATCAAAATATTCTCCTCTCCCTATCTACACATATCTCACCCTATATTTGTCTCTCTCTCTATCTATCTCTCTCTTCCTCAACAGAAACACAACCGGTCACAGATGAGTCAGAAAGCACTCAGTCACATGGAACTGATGAACAGCTGACTACCACGCGTCAATTCGAACCAACAACACCAGGTGAGTCAACTCATTATCCACTCAACACTCGTTCTCTCCAACCCTATCAATCCAATCGACCAGCTCGCCTCGCCTCGCCTCGCTTCGACTAGACTTTTCTTTCATTTCCTGGCCTTGCCTTGCCTTGCCTTCTTTGACTTCCAATGCCACGATTTGCCCTCATTATCCATCCTTCACAACGCATCAACCGCCATCTGGTTCAATTCGCTTCCACACAAACTAACTGACGAGTTATCTAATGAACTAAGTAACTGACGAGATAATCAACAAACAACCAGCTAACCAAATAACAAACTCAATCACACACCCATTCAGTATATAACTAAATATCTAACTAATTAACCGACTAAACAGCTCACTGAACTACTCACTGACCAACTCACCAACCAACTGAGTAACAAACGAACAATAACAACTAACACAAAATTCACGGAAACACAGCGAAATCGATGAATTCAAGAGAACAATGTGCAAGGTCACACACGAAATCACCTCAACACAATACACACAACACACAACACTACACAACACAACACAAGACAGAGAGAAGAAACACAACAAGGCACAGCACAACACTGCACAGAACAACGAAACACAGCACACCAGAGCACAAAACAGCACAACATATAAACACTCAAAACAGCACACCACATTCTCTCACATATTCATACACAAGGAAACACCAGATAACACAAGACTACACATTCCTTGAAAACCATCATCACCATCATCCCTCACGGCAGATGATTTCGACGACAAACCCACCCACCAATTCTGCATCATTCACATCAAAATATTCTCCTCTCCCTATCTACACATATCTCACCCTATATTTGTCTCTCTCTATCTGTCTCTCTCTCTCTCTATTTCTCCCCCTCAACAGAAACACAACCGGTCACAGATGAGTCAGAAAGCACTCAGTCACACGGAACTGATGAACAGCTGACCACCACGCGTCAATTCGAACCAACAACACCAGGTGAGTCAACTCATTTTCCCATCAACAAATGAAAAGCTTCAAATATATATCGTCGAGTTTGTAGACGATGGAATTATTTTAAGCCACACTGTGGAATATTTTCCACATGACACCTGACTCAGTGCAGTTTATATTATTTTCTATTTGAAATCACTGCGAAAATTTATTATCAATTGGTATCATTTGTTCAATATGATGCGGAATTTTCCGCTTTGTTTTCGAAAAAATCCGCTTTTTTCAACTGGTTGTTATATCTAATTTTCGTATATGTTGAAATATGTCTATCGACTGATTTTATGTATCTCTTTTTTGATTGCAGCTTGATTCCATGCTGTAATTTTTGGTACAAGTATGGAATTTTCATCATGGATATCGGTATCCCAAATTTCGCAGGCCGACCATAGATATCAGGTGTGTGTCGGCAGGGGATCGAACCTCGGACCATGTGCATGGTCGGCGAGAGTGTACACCACTGTGTCACCAGCGCACAAATTCAACCTTTATTCAGATCTAGATTCGGCGAATATCTACACTAGTCAGTAGGGAATATACACATTCGCAACAAGGGAACCATGTGTCTTCTAGGATATGAACCACCTCTAAAACGAGGAAATTATCTTATCTGACACAAAACAGTGAGATGAGATGATTTTCAATCCAGCCAACTTTACACTCACGTGTTATGTATGAGACATTCGATGTTCAACTCTTCTAGAGAATTAGATGTCCGTTCACAGATATGTGGTTTCCTCATTGGGAAGCAGCAACCACCACCTGTGATTGAGTAGTAGAGTGGTGACTAGCCACTCTGGAGAGTCAGTCTCGATTTCCAACTGACTTGCTTGTAGACCTCGTCTACTTTAGTAACAGCAGCCACACCGATGCTGAGAATTACGAGGGCATGACCCCTTGTGTTCTGCCCAACACGCGACGACTGAAAGAAAAGTAGGCGGTTGAAAATTTATTCCAAAGGTTTGCAGTCTTCTTAGTGAAAGATTTTGTTCATAATTCAACATCAATGCCTTTTCTGGCTGTGTAATACCGTGAGAGATTATCAAATAGATTTTCCGTTCTATGGAACCAAATTTAAAATCACTCGTAGGTTATTATTCATACAAATTTAGTCTTCAGACTGTGAGTGGCAATACTCACTCACTAATGGAGAAAATGTGACTAGAATTCATACATAACTCCAAATTTGTTGATATATCTCCACCCGTTCATGATGGTATTCACTGATGACAAGTATATTCCTGATTTATTTCAGATGTATTTCTGGCTGAATTGGATCTAATCGTCAGAGACTGGAACGAAACAATCACCAAGAGTGGTGACGCTGCATCATTACAGATTTTGGATGAATATTGTCGAGATGTAAGTGATTACAATACTTGATGAATTGAGCGATTAGTCGAATTTTGATAAGACCGTTTGGAAGGAGTCATCACCGTGTGAGTTATCATGTTCGGTAGTGTAGCGGTGTTGTCAGCTGATCGGCGAGAAGAGGACTGTGATGCAGGTGCATGAATACTCCTGTCGACTGAATGTTGATTCACCCTGATAATTTATACTTTGTTTCACTCTTGTTGACCGATCACACATAACCCACATCTACTCGTTACTCATATCTGATTTGTTCTGCCTTGCACTGAATCAATCAATCAATCAGGTGAAGGAGTTTTTGAGGCACGTCGAGCCGAGATTGCAGTCAGTTCAATTGTCGTGTGATATTCCATCACCAGGAAGTCAGAATTTCCACGAAGCCGATCAGATCACAGTAGTGATTGCGATGTCAACTCGTCAGATGAAGCAGAAATTCACCACGACAGATTGGTTCGGCGAGCTCAAGGAATCACTGGAATATAGGATCAACAACGAGAAGGACCAATGGACAATTGGTGAGTGAATTGTTACCCTATTCTTCACTGGAATATAATCAGCGATTAGGAATGAGGAGAGACTTGTGACAGGTGTGTGTTTGCAATATTTTGTTTTATTCAGAGATAACCGAAGAGACGGATTGATGTCGCGCTCATGATAGTTGTTCAGCTTCATACTGACGGATGGAATCCTCATGGAGCAATGAGAAACAATTTGTTGCCTCCAAAATGATACTCACTAATGCATTTATCTTCCACGAATGTTGATGGAGGGAAGTGTGTGTTTTGTCTCATTATAGGTATTCTCTCAGTTCGGGGTAAGTCTGTGATTTGTGTAACATTTCCATGTCCCTGTCACATGCAATATGTCATTGAGAACAAACCACATTGGAGGGAATGTGATATGTTTTGACAGTCACTCATACTCATCCAGACTGAATTCAATGTGAGTGCTGTGATGAAGACGGGCAACTCACATCCTCCTGATTGATCGTGATGTGTAGTCGAATGTCCGATGCTTCCTGAGGGGAACACGTGAAAAGTAATATGAGGCTGTTGGTGACTTGTTGAATGGTTCCCTCTCATTGTTGGATGAAATCATTGTATGTTGGAACGGAAGAGGATGTGATGGTGTGTATGAGGATTGTGGTCAGTTATGTATGATCAATTTTCATGGGCCTGATTTCGAAGTGAGTGGGAGAAGCCGACAGCGTTGCGTTGTGGCTTCGAGTGTTTCTGCTGTTCCCGCCTAATCGATGAATGTTTCATTCTCAGTTCCTAAATCGCTTGTTCAATTTTCTTTACAGAGGGGGAATGGCGTCATGGAGCAGGTGAGCAGTGGATTGAGTTATGATGTGTATTATCATGTTTGCTAGCTAATTTTGATGTGGTCGAGTTGACGGCGAATGTTTGTTGTTTGACGACTGGATGTTTCTCATTCCGATAAGTGTTCCACGAAGTAACAATAATAATAATAATAATAATAATAATAATTGTAACACTACAAAATCGACACAAGTTTCTTCTTCGTTATGTCTGACTTGAATGAATCATCGTGAAACCTGAGAATACTTCAGAGTGTATGGATAGCGGAGAGTGTAACTGACTCGAATGCATATGAGAGTGATGGATTCCTGCACCAACATTTCCACTGGAAATGGGTATTTGTCGTTGTGTAGATTTTGTTTATCAGTTTACTTTGAGAGAACATTTCGCTCAGGTGTGATGTGATCAGTGAATGATGAATTTTTCAATTTCAGAACACAAATTTGTGTACATCGACGATGTTGGATTCGGTCGAGGTCGGTGTGAACAGGTCAGTTTTCGTATGATTGATAATTTTAACTAGGTATGAGTATGTGTGGGAGTGATTGTTGAAGACATTCACTCCGTGGTGGATGTTTCACAGTGGATATTCCAGTATCGACGCTGAGGATTCTGGTATTGTGTGATTCATCAACATCCGCGTGTTTGTGTGTGAGTGTTTCTCTGTGTTTTGATATGAAGTGTACAATGTAGATAAATGGACGGACTCAGTGGAGCTCTGTCATATTATCTCCTTCATAGTGGTTTCGTCTGATAGTCAACTGAGGGCTCAGGAAGCGTTATTTTCCAAGGGATGCACTCCAACGGAGTTTGTCTACCTGTTGAAACTGTTATCTCGTGTAAAATTGCCACCCCTAACATTTTGAAAATCAAAACAAGTGATTCAGCTGAAAGACTCTTTTCAACGGATTTATCATCGAGGTCTACAATCGTATATTCATGGATTTTGTGACGTTACATCCAGTGTGGTAATTCAATCTTAGGTGTGAATGCATGTAACAATATTAGTAATAATACTATGAAATGTGACTAGAAACTAAAATGTTTGTGATTATAATCATAGGGAAATATCAAGTGGCAAGGCAAATTATTGTCATATATGGAATAATCCACGGGATGTATAGAACTTGAAAAAGGGTGTGCAATTTCGGGATTAGTAGACAAATCGAATGAAATTAAACCATTACGCAATATTGTGTGAAATTTGATAGCATAGAGTTTCACGTTATAAAAAAGAATTGATATAGAATGACAAGTGGAACAAGTGAAATAATACTGGGGACAGTTCAATTTGACAGTAGTAATAGTAACAATTG